TCAATTTCCTCATCTGTAAAACAGGGATTGTACTTAAATCTTTTTCAAAGAGTTGTTATGAGAATTAAAGAAAGAAATACTGCAGGTTAGAACAGCTGTGTGGAGCGTGCACAATGGTAGCCCCCATTAAGGGGTGCTGTTATTAACAATGGGTGTAATTGGACCAGCCTAGCCATGGCAAGCATGTGACAGTGGGTCGTTTGGAGAGGGTGGGGGTAAGCCAAGGAAGGCAGTGATTTTCTCTCCTTAAATGACCACCAGAGCTGAAGAGCCACAGTACTGTGGGGCCAGGCCAGGTGAATGCTAAGCATTCATTTCTTGGACAGATTCTGATGGCTCAGCTACTCATTCAGGTGACATATATTGAAAGTTTACTATGTGCTAGGTCCTATATAAGTACCGGGAACTACAGGATGGCACAGTTACCCCAACATGGGTACCCTTTATTGGCTGCAGCTCTTCAGCCACAGGGTTGCTGGGCATAGGGCTTGGTGCTGAGCAGACTACTTTTCTCTTTCATAAGTATTCTGGACCCAGTGCGAGCTTGGGTGTTTAATACGGCATTAGTATCCACCACTCCTCTGCAAGTGCTGTCCTCAAGGTCACCAGTGAGCTTCTCATGACCAAATCCATTAGCCTTACCTGAGACCATGCTTCCATGCCTCCAAAGCTGTGCCACCCAATGGAACTTTCTGCAATGACGGCTGTGTTCTAGTCTGTGCTGCCCAATATGGTAGCCACTAGCCACATGCGGCATTGAGCGCTTTAAATATGGCAAGTGTGACTGAAGAGCTGAATTTTTAATTTTAATTGCATTTAAATAGTCACACATGTGGCTAGTGGCTCCTCCGTGAGACAGCACTGCTCTAGAGCATTCAATCTTGTTGTCATCCATCCCTTTCTGGTAACCCTATGCTCTTAGCTTTGGCGACACAGCATTCTTCTGGTTCTCTGTTAGCTCCTCTCTGTCTCCTCTTACTCCTCTTGCCCACTAAAAATAGCATCCCCCCAAAGTGTCTGTGCTCTGCCCTTCTCCCTCTGCTTTCTGCACTGTCTTTCATGTCTGGCGAGGCAGCCCCTGGTTTCTAACTTGGAGCCGTGTGGAAATGACACCCAGCACGGTCTCTAATCCTCACTCCTCTTTTTGACTTCGGACTAGTGTTTCCACCTTTAGCCTGGTGGTCACTTGGACATTCTGCAGTCGCCTTGGATTTACCATACCCCTAACTGAAATCATCATTTCCATGTCCTCCTAACCCCCTCCTCCTCCACCCGGCTCTGCTGCTGCTTTACTGATAACCTGTTTTCCTTTTCTCCTTGGCGTCATCTGTGACGTGCCTCCCTCTCTGTTGTCCCTCACTCCCTAACTGTTGTACAGTCTTAAGATTCCTAGCGCACAGCACTCTGCCTTTGTTCTCAAGGGCTCTCTTTTTTTGATAATAAAAGTCAAGGCTTATTGTTGAAAATTTACTATATTCAGAAAAATACCAAAAAGAAAAGAAAAGAAAAGAAAACTCGCGCATAATTGTAACCATCCCGAGAACCATTTTTAACTTTTTTGGTGTGACTTCCCACATATAACCTTCCCTAACCTCTTGCCTGGATTACTGTGGCTGTGAACGCTTGGTGTCTCCCCCACCCTAATCCACTGCTATTTCCCAAGGCTGATTCTCATCATATCACTCTTCTGTTCTGCTCATAAATCTCCAGAGGCACCCAGTTGTCTACTGCATTAAGTTTGTCCCCACTGATGGGGCATCATGCCAAGCCGACCTCTGCTTTCCTAATGCTCAACAGCCCTGATATGGGAGATGTTACTGACACACCACAGTTAGAAATGCCCACAAAAGCAGGAACTCATAGTATCAGTTATGGTTAGAATAGATACCAATTTAGCTTGGCTTAAATTTATTAAGCACTACTATTTCCATCCTTTTTTTCTAGGAAGCAAAACTCCAGGCCAGGCTCGGTGGCTCATGCCTGTAATCCCAACACTTTGGGAGGCTGAGGCAGGTGGATCACTTGAGGTCAGGATTTCGAAACCAGCCTGGCCAAGACAGTGAAACCGTGTCCCTAATAAAAATACAAAAATTAACTGGATGTGGTGGTGCATGTCTGTAATCCCAGTTACTTGGGAGGCTGAGGAAGGAGAATTGCTTGAACCCTGAAGGCAAAGGTTGCAGTGGGCTGAGATCATGCCACTGCACTCCAGCCTGGGTGACAGAGAGAGACTGTATCTCAATAAATAAATAAATAAATAAATAAATAAATAAATAAATAAATAAAATAAAAGAAAGAAAAAGGAAAAAAAGAAAAGAAAAAAAAAAAAGGAAAACAAAATTCCAAAGCCATTACTTTTTAGATTGTGGTAGACAGATTTATTATACTGGATTTTGCTTCTTTGCAAATTAAAAAAGTTTTTGTCCATTTGGTTCCCTGAGATAGTTGCAGTTTCTAGTTCTATGTGTATTTTCTAATTACATAGCATACAAGTCTGTAGAGTTAAGCATTTCCCTTCTTAGACCCCTGGAGAAAACTTTTTTTCCAGAGCTGAAACTCGCTCCCTCTTTGCTTGAGACATCACCTCTACTGAGTCTTGATACTTTGAGTCAATGAAAAATGAATCAATAACTATTTATTGCATGCCTGCAAGCAATGGGCTCCTCCATTGGACAAAGATGTCCTGAGCATTCTTAGAATTTGGGGTCTTCCTGGTGATGGACTTGGCCTCTTAACAAAGGCCATGCTGTATCTTGATGATTGAGCATCCAGCTGGTTTTGCCTGCTTGATGGCTCACTGGCCCGAGCATGGGTATGACTCTGCCCACACTGTTGCCTCCTCAGTGTCTGGGAGGTTTCATGGGAGAGGAGGAAGACTTTGTCAAGTTTTGCTCAGTGGCCTGAAAGTTAATCTTGTGCTCAGTGAGTACAGATTTAGTGCCTAATGAATTCTGTCCTCAGCTGTGTCTTATTTATCTTTTAACAGCTCCCTGGCACATGTAAGCAATTAATAAATGGTTGCTATTATTAGGATTATGATTATACAGATGCCTCTGCAAACATTTTCTTTGTCTCTGCCTTTTCTCGGGCTCTAGACTAAGTGCCCAGCTGCCTCCTGGCTGTCAGGCACATTTGCACCTTGCCTGTGTTGTGATGTAGGCTCAGCCAAGCATGCCTTCCACCCTCCTCCCCTCCTATTAAAATCCTGTTCACACAGTTAGGACCTTTCTAATGCCTCTTCCTCACATGCAGCCTTCCCCCAGGTTAGAGCTCATTGCCTCTTCTTCTCTGCTCTGTGTTGTTTCTTGTACCCCCCGTAGTAAGCTGTGGTCCTACCTGTAATAACTTCAGTTGTTTACGTGTCACACCCTCAGCCTCTCATTGAATGTGGTGGAGACTGTATTTACAATGCTCACCCTGCCAGTCTCAGGACCTTGTATAGTTCATACATGTTTGTCTGATTCACACTGTCATAGAAATTCCAAAGCCCCCAAATCTTTGCTAAACTTCTTCAGAAAGAGTAGAGTGAGTGCCACAAAGTCCTGGCCGTATATCCCAGAGACATTCTCACGGCTTAGCTGTTGGGTTCGAGGCCTCTGCCAAGGATGAGGGGGCTGGCGCTGGACTCCGGCAGGTGGAGTTCCTTGTATTTTCAGAGATCACCAGGAATCATAATAATAGTTCATAGAAAAATAGCTTATTGTCAAAAGTTAGAGGTCCACCTTGTCTTTTGGGGCTCTGTAAGCCACATGTTTTCTGGAAAATAAAATAACGAAGAGAAAAGTAATTATTCTTACTCACGTAATTTTTTGCTTTTGTAAAAGAGAGACCTGTGAAAGACTGGATACCCAGCTTCTCACCGCATCAGTTTCCTTATCTGTAAAATAGAGAGGATCATAGTCCCCATATCGCGGGGTCTTGTGAGGAGGAATTATTTTTATGCATATAAAGTGCTCAACAAATAGAGCTTTTATTATTATTATTTTATTATTTATTTTATTATTATTACATATGTGCTTAATAAATGTTAGCAATGTTAATTATTATTATATATATACTTAATAAATGTTAGCAATTATTATATATGTACTTAAGAAATGTTAGCAATTTTTATCTCATTACCACTAATGCACTAATGGACATCGTCTAATAAATAATTTCTATGATGTTGCTAGCACTAGAGAGACACGAATCTTTGAGTTCACCTAAGCTACTGTTCACCCTGAAAAGATTCAAGAAATATCAATAATCTCAAACTTTTTTAACAGCACTAACTTTCTTTTTTTAAAATTATACTTTAAGTTCTGGGATATATGTACAGAACATGCAGGTTTGTTACATCGGTATACACGTGCCATGGTGGTTTGCTGCACACATCAACCCGTCATCTACATTAGGTATTTCTCCTAATGCTATCCCTCCCCCAGCCCCCCACCTCCTGACAGGCCCTGGAGTGTGATGTTCCCCTCCCTGTGTCCATGTGTTCTCATTGTTCAACTCCCACTTATGAGTAACATCACTAACTGTCTAATAGTTGTGCATATCCATTGTCGTGCGTCGCTGTGACCTGCCGTCCCACCCACACATAACATCAGGTTTATTATGCCACACTAGCCACTTGATTCACCTGCACATTTGATCGTAGGTATTAAAAAAGAAGTGTGAATGGCAAGGAATAAAAACTGAATTCTTTCTTTTATAGTGCTGCAATTTTGGGGGTGGGGTAGAGCTGAAAATTGCACTTACATGGTTATTACAAGGCAATTACCTCAACAGTACTCTTCTTTCTTGCTCACGTTTCAAAGGAACACATGTGCAAAGGGCCTTCTTCTCCTTTAATGGTCTTGACATCACATCATACCTAAGGGCAGAGCTATGACAATACTTCTCTTCCTGGTTGCCAAAAGTAACATGCGGGGGGCACATCGCAGTTGTAAAGGCAGAATGGCCTCTTTTTGGTGGCTGGCTTGGAATTGCAAATATTTTTATTTCTTTCATAGGAGATGGCTCGTGGAAGAGAGGAGACAAACACGACTTCGAAGCTAAGCAAGCATACTCGTCCCTCCAGACAGTCACTCTACTGAGGACAGTGAAACCCGAGTTTGAGAAGTTTTCCATGGAGGTGAAAAGTTCTGTTGAGAAACAAGGTCTCAATATGGAGGATTACGTAAGTGCCTGATTATGAACCTAGGCCTTCAGCATCCTGAAAACAGTCTTCTAATTAAATCAGAGATGACAGAGTGTCCCGTTCTGAGCCATTCAAAAATTCCTAGGTTCAGGTCTGAATTTCACTGTTGCCTTCTGTGTGTGTGTGTGTGTGTGTGTGTGTGTGTGTGTGTTTTCTTTCTGAGTGGTTTTCCTCCTTCCCTCCCAAATATACTCACTATCATCTGTACCCTTCACTTACACTTTTTCAGCTGCTGCAGGAAGGACCATTGCTATTTCGTGGGCACTTGTGGTGGTGCTGAGTAGAATGTCTGTAGACTTCCATCACGTATTTGACTAAGAGGGTTTTGGGGGAGAAGAAGGATGAAGGAGTGCCAAAGGTTTGCATGCCTCATTTTTCCAAAGCTTGGTGGCATTGGGTATTTGGGGTTTTAGGAGACACTTTCTTTTGGCAGCCTGGCTTGGCGTTCTGGCTAGTCTGCTTGTGGATGGTGTTGTTGCCTCTTTCTGCTGGAAGTTGCTTCCTGCTCACATATTGCAGGACTTCACATTCCATTAGTGCTGTTGTTACTAGTGCATTTCAGGAGTGGACAAGAGTCAGAACCTTAGTTCAGACTGAGGATTAAGCAGAGGGACTCATCTAAGAGCTGGCACCGCAGGCAGCTGACCACACCTCATTTGGCATCATTGTTTTGACTGCCTCTGACATGCTTTGCTGCATGGCCAACACGCCACTCCTGTAAATCCTTTCTTAGAGCAGGATGAAAGGTGGGCACCTTGGACTAGTTGAGTAGGTGTGCTGGTCTTCAAAACGAATCACTCTACAGCATCCAAAACTGAAAAGGAGCACCTTCTTCCTCCTCTTCTTTTGTTTTGAGTCAACATTTCGCTCTGTCTCCCAGGCTGGAGTGCAGTGGCGCGATCATGGCTCACTGCAGCCTCAAACTCCTGGGCTAATGCGATCCTCCCTGTTCAGCCTCCTGAGTAGCTGGGACCACAGGTGTACACCATCATGCCAGCTAATTAGGAGCACATTCTTAATGATAGGCATACGGCCTGGATAGTCCCTGCTCAAATTGGATAATGATCAACTTCATAAGAGATGGCCACTTCCAAACAGGGTTTCTCCTAGTTTCTCTACTTGAAGTACCACAGAGTACTGGCATTGGCCTCAGAGCTGCCTTCAGAGTCTAGATCTAGCACTTCTGAGCTGTGTGGCTTGGAAAAATTGCTCCATTTCCCCGATTCAAATTACTTTTTCCTGCTGGAGGATTTAGGATTATTTACCTGAAGCATTTAGCACTATCCCTGTCAGAAAGTTAGAACGAAATAAATGGTACCTCTTTTGTACCACTGTTTCAAGATTATACCTGTCTTTATAGGAATTTGTTATCAAATGGCATACAAAGTGTCTTATAAACATATTTATTAATGTTTTAAATGTTGCATATACTATACTCACATCATTTAAAATATCTTTTGACTTTTTAAATCAGTGCTGTCTGGTAGTTATACAACGTGAGCCAAAAAAGTGAGCCACATATATAATTTTAAATTTTCTAGTTGACACATTTGAAAAAGTGAAAAAAAAAACAGGTGAAATTAATTTTAATAATATATTCCAATTAACACAATATAAACACAATATTTCAACATTTAATAAATTAAAAAATTTTAATGAGATTTTAGTGTATTTCTTGTACTACGTCTTGGAAATCCAGTGTGATTTTACACTTATAGCGTGCGAAGCCCTTGTTCAAGCTCCACATGACATAGCCACACATGACTAGTGGCTACCATATTGGACAGCGTGTTCTGAATTATGAAAGAAGTAGGGTTTCTGCAACAGAGCCTACGTTTAAGGAAACATATGGTAGTGCTGTCATCATCCAAATCCTTTGTCTCAGAAACAAGAAAGAACACAAAAGGTACTGAACTTCCTTCAGTAGTGCTGCCACATGTAGGCTGGGTCGTTATTGAAAACATCAAACTCTTTTACATATGCCACTGTATATTATTTTACTTTATTAGGTTCATATTAATTTTATGGTTTAAAAACTCAACAATGGTGCCATGTTGTCTGGTTTCCTCTCATTGGGCAAAAGTTGGCATCCCAGCCAGGAGCAGTGGCTGACGTCTGTCCTCCCAGCACTTTGGGAGCCTGAGGCCGGCGATTGTTTGAGCTCAGGTGTTGAACACCAGCTTGGGCAACATGGTGAAACCTCATCTCTACAAAAAATACAAAAATCAGCCAGGCATGGTGGCATGCACTTGTAGTCCCAGCTACTTGGGAAGCTGAGGTAGGAGGATCACCTGAACCCAGGGAGGTCGAGGCTGCTGCAGTGAACCGTGATCGCACCACTGTGCTCCAGCCTGAGTGGCAGAGTAAGACCTTGTCTCAGAGAAAAAGTTGGCATCCCACTACTGGGTAATTCTTCTTGGTTATCTGTTATTCTGTGTTCATAATATTACATCTTATTTTAATGGTAGTCTAAGCAAAATCTCACTGGAAACGTATACCTACTACAAAGCTTTATAGAACATTCCAAACCTAATAAGAGCACTGTAGAGATTGTTTGCAGCCCTAGATTACCATACTGCTTCCCTCTGATAGTGGGACTGTTAAAACTGACTTCATAAATAAATAAAAATTAGAATTTTAAGTAGAAGTTGGAGCTAACTATAATAACTTATTTTAGTTCTGAAGATGTGTCCATCTTTTGTATGTATGTAGGTTTTAGTGGGCCTTTTTTTTTTTTTTGAGATGAGGCCTCCCTGTGTTGCTCTAGCCAGTTCGTGGGCTCAAGTGATCCTCCTGCCTTAGACTCTGGAGTAGGTGGGATTACAGGTGCACACCACCACTCCTGGCTGAGTTGGGCTCTTGTAAACACCAGCTGCAGAGGTTTATCAAGTTAGGTTAGACAGGTGGTCCTGGTGAGTATCATGGGAAGGAACTATGGGAGCCAAAGAGCCAGCACCTGGTGTGGCTGGGTTCCCAGATTCTAGTGCTTGATCTAATGTGGTGGGAGAGCCTGTAGGAGTCTGGGGTCTAGACTCAGTCTTTTTGCTTCTCTTACTTGTGCTAATGAGTTGTCTCATCTGCTTTCTTAGAACTCCAGTTGATGACACCCATCGTGAGCTCTTCATTCTCTGCTATCCATCTCGAATTCAGTGACTTTGGTGGACTCTCATTTGTTCTAAAATTAACCATGCATTTCCAAAGAATCACATAATCTAGGAATAGTGGCAGTTTTGTTTCTTTTAAATTCTTCTACTTTTAAGTATGTTTAATTGAAAGTGTACTTAAGAAGCTGGGCACAGTGGTACATGCCTGTATTCCCAGGTACTTGGGAAGCTGAGGTGGGAGGATCACTTGAGTCCAGGAGTTTGAGCCCAGACTGGGTAACATATCAAGACCTCACCTCTAAAAAGATAAGTAAATAAAGTAACTTTTTAAAAGTATAATTAAGAATGTGTATACTTAATTCAAGTATTAAGTATATTGAATTAAAATTAAATATAATTAATTAAATTAAAACTTCAAATGGCCTTGGGTGGGATCCCAATACATGTTAAATATAAGCAGTGATAGTGGGCATCTTAACTTTAATGTAAAGAGTATATGACAGAATTCATATCTGTTCACATCACCACTTAAGCATGATGTTTGCTGTGGAGTTTGGGGGACACTCTTTATTAGACTGGCAATTCCCTTTTCTCTCTTGTTAGTGAAGTTTTTTTCTTTGGCAAAATGATTCCTTGTAATACGATAACTGAAACAAAAATAGCACATCAAGCATCAAGGTTTGTATAATGTAGGTTAAGGAAAATCTTTGGACATAGGTTTTTTACTTTAGGTGTTACATGTCATATGATACCACTGACTCTATTTCATATATGTTAGTATTGCATTCATCATATTACCATGTTTTCAGCATCCTTAAAAAGGTTATGGTCTTCTGAAAATGAAAAATTTGAAACTTTAAAATATTTACAGACTATACTAAAGCATTGGGAGAATAGAGTAGCAATGACGGTTTTAGTAAAATTAATGTTCCATATTTTTAACTTACCAAATTTTGATGGATTAATGCCATTTTGTTTTGGTAAAATTGATCTCTTCTCTCCTCTATCCATCTCTTGCCCTCTCTCTTTTTAATTGACTTTTTAGTAGAGATAATTGCACATTTACATGCAGTTTTAAGATGCAGTACAGAGAGATTCCTTGTATACATTTCCCAGTTTCCTGCAATGGTAACACTTTGGAAAATTATAAGATCACAACTAGGATATTGACACGGATACAATGCAATTATTATGCTCAGATTTCCCAGTTTTACCTATACTCTTTGTGTGTGTGTGTGTGTGTGTGTATGTATTAAGTTCTGTGCAATTTTATTCTGTGTATATTTGAGTGTATGAATTTTATCAAATGTATATTCTTACACATATTGTGATACTCAGTGTTTCTTTATTCTGTTATAAAGTTGCGATGTGAGTTGCATTAGTAGATGTTTCTGATTGTAACCATTTATGCACTCCTAGAATAACCTAGGACCATCTCAACCTCAAGACTGAGTTGTTCTATTTCCCAGTTCACATTTTGGGGAATATACTTATGGTTGAACCTACACATGCCTGCCTAGCTGGAGATTTTCAGGCCGGGATGTCTCAAATGCTATTAGCAGCCTGTAAATTAGCTTCCCTGAGTCCAGTGTTTACTCTAGTTTCCCTCAGCTTGGGTGGTACATGTAAGTGGTGTGACAGAAAATACGGTTGTTTAGGGCTAGTCTATCACTGGGGCTGTAAGTGTTGCATATATTACACTTGTCTAGTCATCAGTACATGTATCTTATGATAGTGTCCCCACTATTCCTATGGGTAATATAATATTTTTAAAAAAGCATTTGTCCTTTTACTAGTGAACCAAGGGGAAATCTATTCCATTCTGATGCATTTTTTTTTTTTTTTTTTTTTTTTTTTTTGAGACAGAATCTCACT